CAGCAAGCAGTTATAGAAATAACCCTAAACATCTGTAAGTTGGGCAATGGAGCAGTGAGTGATCCAAAGTCCTATTCAGAGCTTACACCCAACGTATTGTTTCTTATTTGAAAAATGATTAAAGTTCAACAAAATGGAGAAGTATTTGTTTTCCTGCTGGGCAAAATAATATTTTAGGACCTTTATTAAGAGAGTTAAAAGCAAGTTCGGTTTGTGTACTACTGCTAAGTCTTGTACTCAGCTGAACGTCTTCTTACCTAACATTTACAGGAAGTGGGATGGAAGTTGTAGCTTCCTAGGTACTTCATCATTAAATGAAAGAACAATAATAATGAAATTAGAAAGGAATAATGCCACTCCATAAAGACAAAAATGGTACTGCTGGGCACAGTGGTGCTCACCTATAACCCCAGCAATTTGGGGTTGAGGCAGGAGGATTATGAATTCAAGACCAACCTGGGCAACTTAGTGAGACCCTGTCTCAAAATTAAAAAATAAAAAGGCCTAGGAATGGAGTTAGGTGGTAGAGGGCTTGCCTAGCATATATGAAACTCTGCGTTCCATCTCCAGTATCATTACAAAGAAAGGGGTGGGGGGTGGGCAGGAAAGAAAAACAACTGCGCTACCTGGAGAGAAACTGTCATTTCAACAAAATCAGAACGCTCCCTTTGTCCTGCTACCACCAAGTCAGAGTGAGAAGATTTTCTATCAAAATAATTATGTAAATGAAAAGGTCTGTCATTTCCATTCAGTCCTTTCATTTTAATTTTCCTCTGATGATAACAGTTCCTGCATGCAATTTTCACATTTTTGTATTTTCATTTTTAACATGCAGAACTTTCCATGATAGCAAATGAAGTCCTCTAATGAGGCCAGGTTCTGAGGTCTGCCATGCAGACTTGTTTGTGATAACTGGCCTTAATGGAAAAGGGCTGTTCAGTCCAGCCCGGGGCAGCCAACTCAATTAATGGCTTTAGTATTGTGGTTGGATCAAGCGCTGTGAAATGAAAACTTACAAGACAGTGCAATGTCTTTAGGCCAACATTGGAGTTTATGAGATGATTCAGAAATGACTCCTGTTTCCCAGCATCATGAAGCTTTCTTGCCACGTGCATTTTTGTTTGTCAGAATTTAACTTTATGAACTCTTATGCTGTAGTGGAGAATATTTGATGATATCAATGGTATTAAAAGCTTGTATCTATTAATGGTTTACTGTGTGCCAGGCACTGTTTGAAGTGCTTCATAAAATATGGGAAAATTTAAATAGTTCTGGAGTATGTAGTTTTTATATTTTAGATCAGTGGTATTAGTAAAGTTCTGCTTCTCGACGTCAAGTGACAAGTAGACAAATTAGAGTGATTCTTTGATRTACACCCTGGCCTCTGTTACCTCTCTGCCATTCTGCAGAAATGAATTTAGGAAGAAGAAAGCAAGGGAAAAAGAGATCAGATAATCCTAAGCAGTTGAGGAAGAAAGGAAGGAAAAAGATAAAAAATATTGAAAGAAGAGTTTGAATACTTTTCTCCTACTAATTCACTTAACTGTTAAAAAGTTCCAAGTAAATATATAAATTAATAGTAAGTACTAATAATTGTGCCTGCATCTACTATGTCAGGCACTGTGCTAACTGGTCTACATCCCTCAAAGGGTTTTATGCTTTGCAAAGGAGGTAACAATCAGATTTCTTAATAAATTGTTAACTTCCCTATGCTCATTTAAAATATTCTGCTAGTTGCAAAAAAAGTGATTTCATCCCTGTCTTAGAAGAATAGTTCTCATATCAACCCAAGACTGTAGTCTTAACTCGTTGGTATCATACCCATACTAACAAACCCACTGCAGACAGATAACAGACCCTTATCTCTGATTGCCTTTCCCTTTTTTAAATGTCTGTGGTACAAAATTTTGTATTTAATTACATGATGCTTCAAGTTCTCTACTATTCTAGTTAAAGATTTATCTTTATCTAAATATACTATACACTCAATAGTATTATCTATTTTTTATGTTCCTATAAGCCTGAGTATCATGCTAATTGCAAATTTTGTGCTTAATAAATGATTCTGAAATAACTGAGTTAATGAATAAAAGAACAGGCGTTAAATCATTATTGTCCACTTAAAGAGTCTGAGGAGCTATGTATGCTAAATGTGCAGTAAAGTCCAACAATTTTCAAAAAAACAGTTATTTTGTTATTGCCTTTCTTTTCTTTTCTTTTCTTTTTTTTTTTTTTTTAAGCTGAAGCAATGATTCTCAAGCCCTTTGAGCTCAGGATCCCTTTTAAAATGATTGAGTTCCCCAGTGAGCCTATGCTGGTGTGGGTTGTCCCTAGTGATACTTGCCATACTAGAAACTAAAATGGAGAAATTTAAAACATGAGAACATAAGCATGTATTCCACCATCTGTCAGAGCAGTGACACCAACACATGTCATGTGGCTTCTGGGAAACTCCCTGGCACACTTGTGAGGGAATGAAAATGCAAAGGGCAAATGATGTCTTAGTGTTATATGAAAGTAGTTTGGACCTCACAGACTCACAGAAAGGTCTTGGGCAGCTGATAATCTCAGGCATTCCACTGGCTCACTAAATCAGGCTATGATGAAGGCTGTCTTTAATGTTAATGTTAAAACTATATTTTCTGCTTTATCATGAATACTATGAGTATTATAAATTATTATGTTTTTTTAGAGAGAGAGAGAGAATTTTAATATTTATTTTTTTTTAGTTTTTTTGGCAGACACAACATCTTTGTTTTTTGCATGTGGTGCTGAGGATTGAACCCAGGCCACACACATGCCAGGCGAGCGCGCTACCGCTTGAGCCACATCCCCAGCCCAAGTATTATAAATTATTTTAACAATAAAGCAAGTATAAAATTTATATTTAATTAATGTTAATAGTTCTTTTTTGGTTGGAATTATCTTCATTTAAAAAAAAAACATTTGGAAACCACTTTCATTGTTCACTTAAAGGTGTGTTCGAACAGATTTTAAACTGTACTACAGAGCAATAGTAACAAAAACAGCATGGTACTGGTACCAAAACAGGCAGGTGGACCAATGGTACAGAATAGAGGAAACAGAAACCAATCCACAAAATTACAACTACCTTATATTAGACAAAGGTGATAAAAGCATGCAATGGAGAAAGGATAACATCTTCAACAAATGGTGCTAGGAGAACTGGAAAGCCATATGCAACAAAATGAAACTGAATTCCTGTCTCTCACCATGCACAAAAGTTAACTCAAAATGGATTAAGGAGCTAGGAATCAAACCAGAGACTCTTCGTCTAGTAGAAGAAAAAGTTGGCTCCAATCTCCACCTCGTGGGGTTGGGCTCCAAATTCCTTAATAGGACACCTGTAGCTCAAGAGTTAAAATCAAGAATCAACAAATGGGACTTACTCAAACTAAAAAGTTTTTTTCTCAGCAAGAGAAACAATAAGAGAGGTAAATAGGGAGCCTACATCCTGAGAACAAATTTTTACCCCTCACACTTCAGATAGAGCCCTAGTATCCAGAGTATACAAAGAACTCARAAAATTAAACAATAAGAAAACAAATAACCCAATCAACAAATGGGCCAAGGAYCTGAACAGACACTTCTCAGAGAAAGATATACAGTCAATCAACAAATACATGAAAAAATGCTCACCATCTCTAGCAATCAGAGAAATGCAAATTTAAACCACTCTAAGGTACCATCTCACCCCAGTAAGAAAGGCAGCCATTATGAAGTCAAACAACAACAAGGGCTGGCAAGGATGTGGGGAAAAGGGTACACTTGTACATTGCTGGTGGGGCTGCAAACTGGTGCGGCCAATTTGGAAATCAGTATGGAAATTCCTCTGAAAGCTGGGAATGGAACCACCATTCAACCCAGCTATTCCCCTTCTCRGACTATTCCCAAAGACCTAAAAAGAGCATACTACAGGGATATAGCATCATCAATGTTCATAGCAGCACAATTCACAATAGCTAGAMTGTGGAACCAACCTAGATGCCCTTCAATAGATGAATGTATAAAAAAAAATGTGGCATATATACACAATGGAATATTACTCAGCACTAAAAAATAGCAAAATCATGGCATTTGCAGGGAAATGGATGGCATTAGAGCAGATTATGCTAAGTGAAGTCCGCCAATCCCTAAAAAACAAATGCCGAATGTCTTCTTTGATATACGGGGGGCGACTCAAAACGGAGCAGGGAGGAAGAGCATGAGAAGAAGATTACCATCAAACAGGGACGAGAGGTGGGAGAGAATGGGAGAGAGAGGGGGAATTGCACGGAAGAGGGAAGGAGACCCCCATTGTTATACAAAAATACATATAAGAGGATGTGAGGCGAAGGGGAAAAAATAAGAGAGAGAGAGAGAAATGAGTTATGGTAGATGGGGTAGAGGGAGAGGAGGGGAGGAGAGGGGAGGGGAAGGGAGGGGGGATAGGAAGGGGATAGGAAGGGCAGCAGATTACAACAGACACTTGTTCGGCAGTATGTATAAACGTGGATGTATAACCAATGTGATCCTGCAATCTGTACACGTGGGAATATTAAGAATTCGTACCCCATTTGAAACAAATGTCAAGATCAATGTAATGTTTTGAGCAACTAATAAATTTCTGATATTTAAAATATATATATATATATATATATATATATATATATATACACACACATATACATAACATATATATATATATATAATCAGCTCAATATATTGAAGTGCTCCTTAAACCTTTTTAAAAATAAATATTATTTCATTATACAAACCATAAGTAAATAATGCTCTTTAGGATGAAGTAAAAAATATATATATATGTGTGTGTTCGAGGGCCTGGGGTTTTGGCTTAGTGGTAAGCCCTTGCCTAGCATGTATGAGGCACTGAGTTCAATCCTCAGCAACACATAAAAATAAATAAAGAAAGAAAGAATTGTCCATCTATAACTAAAAAAAAAAAAAAAAAAATTAAAGTGTGTTCTCTTACTTTACAGTTCCCCAATTTGAAACTGCTTGTAGTTATGTGGAAGCTACACTTGAAGAATTTCTGACCTGGAACTGTGACCAGTCTAGTGATTCTGGACCATTTAAAGATTATGATCATTCTAAATTCTGGGCTTATGCTGACTACAAATATTTTGTTAGTCTATTTGAAGACAAGACAGATATTTTCCAGGTAGGTAATACATTCCTTTTCATCTTAGTAAGAAATTACTCTTGAATGGGAACCATCAAAAATACAAATTATTTAGTAATAAATGCAGGAAAGGATGTGGAGGAAAAGGAACACTCATATGCTGTTGTAGGATTACAAATTAGTACAACCACCATGGAAATCAGTATGGAGGTTCCTCAAAAGACTAGTAATGGAACCACCGTATGATCCAGCTGTACCTAGGGATTTTTCCTAAAAACAATTACTCATCAGACTATAGCGATACATGCGGACCCATGTTTATACACAGTCACCAAATTATGGAACCAGCCTGGGTGTCTATCAGCAGATGAGTGGATAAATAAAATGTGATATATGTACACAGTGGAGTTTTATTCAGCCACAAAGAAGAATAAAATTATGTCATCTACATGAAAATGGGTAGAACTTGAAAGCATTATGTTAAGTGAAATAACCCAGACGCAGAAAGTTAAGAGTGGTATATTTTCTCCCATATATGGAGGCTAGAGAGAAAAAAGGTAGAAGGTGGTCTCATGAAAATGGAAGGTAGATCAGTAGAATAGAAGAGAGGACCAGGGGAATGAAGGAGGTGTGGGGAAGGAGAGATACTAGGGAATGAAGTTGTCCAATTTATATTGTTGTATTATGCATGTATGAATATATAATAATGAATCCCACTATTACACATAATTATAAGACACCAGTAAAAAAATTTTTTTAGAAAGAATATGCTTTACCAAAAGATCCTAAATTACAATCTTCCTGGTATTTTCTGCCTTGACTGCCTTTTTGTCTCATAAATAGTGACTGTGAGTCTGGAGCATTTTACCCAATAAAGCCAAAAGGTCTACTCAAAAGAAGTATGTTTGATTGACGTATATCAGCAGGCTTCTGTTTTCCTACTCATTAGACTTGCTATGCACCCCTCCTTTGCCTTTGAATGGTACTGAGTAGCTTAGAGTATACTAGAAAAATACCTGTGTTTAAAACTTCATCTGCTGCTGACCTACATGGAAGTTCTTGTTCCATCAGTGAGGCAGGTAGAGATATAAAGTTTCTCCCAGGAAGCATTACTTATGTCACTCTGCCATACTGTCTGCTCTGGGGTTTAGTACAGCTAATTTTTCTCTGRTGGTTTATGGCCTGAGACAGAGAATTTTGGGCTCCTGGTATTTGGTAGTAGAAGACCTGCAAAAAATGTGCAGAATATGGAAGTTCACTGCTGTGTGTTGACATAACTGTCAACAGTTTGCAGATTACCATATCCTCTTTTCTTTTACATGACTTCTACCTCAAAATGCCAGTTTGTTTTGTGGGGTAATTTTGCAAACTCCCAGGTTTGATTTCTGTCTTGTCTTAGGTGTAGGGCAAGGGTGAGTCCGGCCCCAGGGAGCCTGTTTGGATGGCTCTACCTTGCCCATAATCAGGCCACATCTCCAGAGTTCCTCACTCTGTTCTTAGTTTTATATGGAGACAAGTATACAAAAACCCTCAGCACTGCAGGCTCTTCCCCCTGCTCCTCCCCTCCCACCTGTTACCACCACCCCTCTGGCCTTTCCTTTCATGTGGGATGATTATTCTTTGGTTCCAGAGCCAAAGAATTTTTTCCATTCAACCTACATTTTCGTTTTTCTCTTTGCATCAGGGTATTTACATGGTTATTATAATTCAACTAATATTTTGCAGCTTTCCTTTATTAACTTTTAAAAATGTTTGCTTGAATAATTTTACATTTTTTGGAGAGGGGGTAATCGAGGATTGAACTCAGGGGCACTCAACCACTGAGCCATATCTCCAGCCCTATTTTGTATTTTATTTAGAGACAGGGTCTCACTGACTTGCTAGTGCCTTGCTTTTACTGAGGCTGGCTTTGAACTCACAATCCTCCTGCTTTGGCCGCTTGAGCTGCTGGAATTACAGGCATATGCCAGTGCACCCAGCTAATTTTACTTTTTATTGAAAATTATATCACCTTGCTCCATAATTGTTAGTTGAAGGTGTATCTTTATTCTTGTAGCCATGAAATAAATGCTTGATTTATTTGTTTGTCTGTCCGGTGTTTTTGTTTTTGTTTTCCTTCTAGAAATGGGGTCTCGCTGTGTTGCTTAGACTAGCCTCCAACTCCTAGGCTCAYGCCATCTCCCTCTGCAGTCCCCTAGCACCATAGGTGTGCTCTCTCACACCATGTTAAGTGCTTAAATTTGAAAATATTCATTAAACATTTCTGAATCCAAAGTCCATACCGAATCTATTTACTTATTTTTAAATAATTTTGAAATAGATGTTTTCTCTCTTAACCTCAGATCACATTATGGATCTTTAATCCTGGAAATTAAAGATTTCCTAATTAGCTTTTAGAGTACTTTGTTATAGTTCTCATATCCCCAACAACTCTGTAGAATTGAACAAATGCCTTCTTACTCCAAATTTCAAGTAAAACATCATGGGAATATAATGTTTATCAAGTACTTATCTTTGATACCTTTCTAAACTTTTTGGAACACCTTACTTTAAAAAAAAAAATTTCCTGTAGTTGTAGATGGACATCATGCCTTTATTTTATTTGCTTATTTTTGTATGTGGTGCTAAGGATCGAACCCAGTGCCTTACCCATGCTAGGCAAGCGCTCTACCACTGAGCCACAGCCACAACCCCAATGCCTTACATTTTTCATGCTCATAATAATTTAATAATTATCCCTTTTTTTWAAGAAAAATGAGGCACCAAAAAGTTCTGGTAACCTTTTCAAAGATWATACAACTAGGGAGGAGTTGACCCACTGAGTCTCTCCAGAGCTTCAGCTCCTGCTGTGCCTTCAGAGGGTCCAAATACAAGCAGCCCCGTGGGGCTCTGCARCCAGGATGAAGCACTTTCAACTACAGGGAGTCTGGCTCTCTTGACCTAGGATACATCCCTCATCTGACCCAGTCAGTGCTTCAGTCCTATCCCAGGCAGCCAGCATTGGGCAGACACGTGACCTGGCCATTATGTGCAGACATAAAAGACAGCCTTTCGGTAATGTGCTGGAATTCTAATTAAACCCTTATAAAATCTGATCTTTTTAGTTGAATGAATTTTCTGTCAGCTCATATTATGGTGATTAATTCTGCTATGAAGGACCAAGTCTACTCAGATCATATCTTCTTTTAACTTAAAGTTTTCTGGGTACCAAGTCTTCTTATATCACAAGCACATAAGTTGTTTTCGTTTTGTTTTGACTACTATAATCCATTAGGTCATTAAATCTTATTAGTCATTGTTTCAAGCTTTTTTATTACAAGAGAAGATTGTTTACATTCTTGCCAGCCCTTTAGTGTCTGGCTTATAGATAACAGCTGGATTCTCACATCTGCTTTTTCAGTCATGCAACTGGATTTATTGATCTTTTGGAAGGATATGAAGAAAATCTTGCTTCACACACATATGCAGCTAAAAAAGAAAAGAACACAGAAGTATTTAAATAGCCTTTTCAGATAATTGTGGAATTTTCACATTTGACAAGGGATAGTTTCTTTTTTTCCCCTTTTTTCTTTGTTATTCTTCTTTATATCTGTGATTTTTATGTGTGTAGGTGGGGAGAGGGTTACTAGGGATTGAACCCAGGGTCAYTTTACATTGAGCCACATCCCCAGCCCTTTTTATTTTTTATTTTGAAACAGGGTCTCACTAAGTTTCTTAGGCTTCACTGAGTTGCTGAGGCAAGTCTCAAACTTAGCATCCTCCTGCTTCCTCCCATGTCCCTGGAATTACAGGCATGGGCCACTGTACCCAGCAAGGGATAGTTTCTTAAAGGGTCATTAGTTGCCATGTAGAATCTCAACCCAAAGAATAAACTCTTTGTACTTTTACATAATAAGATTCATTGATCTATCTTGAACAGAATAGATCCGAGGTAATATAATTCATTGACTATTTATAAAATGTTGCTTTGCTAAGCTGTGTAGGTCTTGCAAATGTTGGTGCATTTCAGTGTACTCAATACATTCCATAATATAAAAAGTCATATTTGCTAATATCATCACCATTCTCATTACAAAACCTTTAGCATTAGAAAGCTTTCAAGGTCATATATCTCAAAATACAGCTTGCAAAATCATTTTAATTCAGTTCCAAATATTTTCTAATTTATCTAGTGATTTCATCTTTGACTTACTGGGAATTTTTCAGCTTTCTGTTATTGATTTTTAATTTAATTCCATTGTGGTCAGAAAACATACTTTGTATGAAGTCAGTCCTTTTGAGTTTATTGAAATCTATCTTATGGCCCAGAATATAGTTAATCTTGATCAACATTCATATATCCTTGACAATATTGTGTATTCTGTGGTTGGGTGGAGTGTATAAATGTCAAGTCAGGGTGATGGTTCAAGTCTCCTGTATCCTCAGTAGTTTTCTGTATATGTGTTCTACCCATTATATAGAAAGTGGCACTGAGATCCACCAATGATAATTATGTACTTGTCTTTTCGTCATTTTAGGTGTATCAGGTTTGGGGTTTTTGTTCATGCATGTGAAAGCTGTTATTAGGTTCGTATATGTTTAGGTTTATGATGTCCTCTTGGTGAATCAACCCTTTATCATGATGAGAAATCACCCTCTGCATCTTGGGTTCTCCTTTGTTCTGTTTACTTTGCCTTTGCTTAGTCTTAGTATGAAAAGAAATACTTACTGTATAATTCCATTTTTATAAAATTTTAGAACTTGCAAACTAATTTTATAGTGATAAAGTAGTTGTATGAGAATGAGGGTGAGGGGGCACCAGGAAGCTTTTGGACAGATCAGAATTTCATCTCAATGTGGCAGTGGTTTCTCAGGGGTATAATATGTACCTTAAATATATGCTGTTTATTGTACTTATGTTATACCCCAATAAATCTTTTGTTGTTGTTTTAAAGAATTAAGTGCTACTGATAACACTTTGGTCCCACTGCCTGGACACTAGCAATTTAATTTGTCATTGCTTATGCACCATCAATGTGAGCCTCAACACARTGAATTAG